GGATTTAAGTCTGTTTTTTAGAGACCCAAACGTCCAAATTTAAAATATGAGGCTTCAAAACAGTTGTCGCATAACCAACAGGTGATGTCGCGGTTCGTTATTGCTTGTAAGCCTAAAGTTCTCAGCAACTCCTAGCAAGTTTCATCAACCAGTCGAACCTTAAAGGCGTCTTAGTGAAGCCTTTCGTAATGTGTAAATTTCCTACGAGTGAGGTTTAATTTCCAGCGGTCGACATTATCCACCGACCCTTATTTCTGCTCACGACTGAATCCACATCAAGCTGGTGTAGCCCAGTTCGTCGAAGCAGTCCCGGCATGTTGTGTTTTTATTCCTGTAATAGTCCAACTGTTTGGCTTTTTATCACCTATGTAGCGGTTGTATTTAATAGTCACACGGTGTAAATATTTAACAAGAACTGCATTAGGACTGTTTTTTTTTTTTTTTTCTGATTTGCATGTGTTTTACATCCCTGTGTCTAGACTTCACTATAGTGGTCTTTCTTTCAGCTTTTTTCTTCCTCTTCCTTTACACAACATTGTAATAGAGCTCAGATAATTCTATTCAAAGGAGACATTAGTTTGCATTTCTGATACCATCTAACCTGATAATGCTGCTCCGCTGTTCTCTCCTAACAGGTGTGATGGAAGCACTCAGGAGCTGGAGCTGCTGTTTGACCCTGACCTCCTCCAACAGCACGTTAGCCTCACTGACGGTAAGACAAACGCATTTTATTAGCGTCTGAGGCCACTTTGCAACACAAAACATGGTACTTTTCTAAAAAAAAGATACCACTTTGTGTCCAAGAAACCCCTCGAGCAAAGGCAGCGCTGATAAACCTGATGTGATTGGAGCTATGTGCATTACACTAGTGAGCAGAGAAGATGCGCTTGTTGGATACTTTCCATCCAGCTGATTGTTTTAATGTGTTGCTGCAGATTATGGCGAGAGGCCTCTTCCTGCCCCACAGCCACCCGACGCCCAAAATCCTTATCAGCCTGACTTGGAGGAGGAATACTACTAACAGAAACACAGCACATCCTGAAGTTGAGCTCCTCTGTCTGATGTGGAGGAAAAGCTTCTGCAAAAACGGCGTGTTAGAATAAAAACTGATGCAAGACAAACACCGTGTTGGTTTCCGTGTTTCCTAGTAGTTTTATCCTTTTTTAAACAACAATACTATCGAGTTTAGGTTAGTATTTTGGGGCAGCTGTCCCTCATTTAACATCTATTTGAACATCCATATGGGCTGTGATTCTTCCAAGAGGCTCCTTTACTGTTGCACCATCTTGCAGTTTTTTCAGCAAAGGGCTCTCATTTGTCCGAGACAGTTTTGTTTTTTCAGATTATTCTTTCCAACCACAATTCAAAAACAATGTCATTTTTCACTAAAGTATAATTTAACAAATTTTTATTTATTATTACTTTTTTCAATTTCTAGTTATTTGAGTGACTGTTGTGAGTTTTGCCTTTTCTTTAATGGAAGGGGATGAACACATTAGAGGTCGACTGTATATCTG